TCAGCAGGCTGAGAGCCACTTTCACTGTTAAAGAAAAGTAAATCCTCCAATAATCCAATTTCCCAAACATGAAATTTTCCTGCATGGAAAGTGAGTGAGGTCATTGTGAGAGTCGTGCCAAAAAAATAATGTTTGGGGGGTAAACAGCTAATTACGGTGGCTGAGAAAGGCGTTAGGAGAACTCCTGCAGGGGAAATGTTTTGCAAACCTCCAGTTCGTGGGCTGAGTGGGGAGGCTGAAAATAAAGCAAGTTTTCATAATTCAGTGGCACCTGCCTCATAACACAGGGAGGGTTTTACTGGTGGGGAAAGGGGCTGATAGAGTTACAGCCTGCTGCCCTCCAACAGCACTGAAAGTATTCCAGGTTGGGAGAGCGCTTTGTCAAAGACAATAATCCATTTGTTTCTGATTTGAGCCGTATTTGTGAAAGTTTATATTCCTGTTTATACCTACAGGTGCTCAGCAAGCATTCCTGTGTGGTAGCCAGTGCAGCTTTATTAATTAGACTCACATTTCTCTAGTAAAAGCACAGGCTTGTATTATTTTACAGCTGTGCTCGTGCAAAGACACGCAGCTCTGCCTTCTTTTGGGCTTCTTCCCTCAGCAGCTGAAGGAGCAGGAGGTTGGAAATGCTGAAGCCCAGGAGGGAGGCTGGGAGGGGAAGGCAGGAAGGGCACGCAGGTTCTCCTGCTGATGGATGGATGGATCCTGAGGGCTCTCAGGGGGCTGCTGGCAGGCAGAGCAAACCTCTGCTCTTGCTCCCACCTCGGGATACAGAAGCCGTAGTGGCCAAAATGGTGCAGGGACGAGCTCAGTGGAAAGGTGTTATTGAAATTGCTCAAAGTTATCACTGGAGTCTGTGGTGGAGGGTGCATATTTTACACCAGCAACTCGGCTAAGTGGTGCTTGAAAATGTTTAGAGGTGGAGGGTGTTTGGGTGGGGACTCCTGGGCGGGCACAACCGGGGTGCTGCCATGAGCGCTTCGGTACACACACGCCCAAAGGACCCTCCTTGGGGCGCGGTGGGATGAGAGGGGCTGGGTCAGGCGGTGGCAGTTCGTGGATGCCCTGGTCTCAGCCGTGATGCTCAGAGGCTGAGGAGGTGGGTGCTGCTGTGTGGGGTGAGTGGGGCAGCTG